CAGGACTTGTCTTACGGATGGATGATGTTCTGTTACAGTAGGCACTTCATAATTGAAACCAGACATTCATAAGGGAAAAGAAAGCCAATGAACATGGAAAAAAAAAGTTTTTTCTAGACTTTCTACTAACTGAAAAAAGGATGTTTATTATTGACTTGTTTGCAAGACCACTTTTTTTTCAGTGATCTGTGCATGTCACTTACGGAGCCAACCAGTAGCTGGCACAGTTTTAGCCATGTCACTGCTTTATCTTCTGTGTACCTTTTGGAGCTTTTTTGGGACTACTTTTGGAAGCTAAGAAATGAAGTAGCATAGAGTAAATAAATACCAGGAGCAGCTGGATTCTGGTTGTTAGTAATGCCAAATCAAACAAGAAGATCACAGATTTGCACTTGAAAGCCCAAACAGTCTCAACTTTGGTTTGAGAGATGTGTTCTGAGCTTAAATGAGCAGCCAAAGACTTCTTTGTTGTCTACAGTGTGTGCCTAATTACAGTCCTGCTGGAAAAAACCCACATCCTATAAGGACTAGAGATCCATTAGTGGTGGCTGCCTAGTGCCATGTTCCTTTAGTGCTTGCATAACTTTCTTGAAGCACTTATTCAGCCACAACATTCTTTGTTTTACTGAAATATAACAGTATGAAAACATTTACATTCAAAGAATACTTAGCACTCTTTCTAGGGTTAGAAATGCCTTGTTTTAGAAGCATATCCTGAAATGATAGTTTGGAAATGCTTAGTCTGTGGTACAGCTGGAACTCTTGCAATTTACTCCAAATGATTTCCAGGAAGCCAGTATTTTTATAATCTAAATGATACAAAATGAAATTGAAAAGAATCTGTCAGGAATGAATTATGTTCATAATGGATTATGTTCTTTAAGATTAGAATAGTGTATGTAATTTTGCCTTGAGTTCAACCAAATATACTATATAATAGGATCACAGCAGTACATCCCATTACTGATAACTAAGTTTAAAAAACCAGTGTTTTTACATAGCAATAGGTACTTAGATATACCAAATGAAGAAACTAATATGGGATTAATAATGACATCCCTTTAAAAATAGGAAAGGCAAGTAATTAACAATCCCCTTGGAATATCCATGAATTATATATTTCTGAGATTGGTTTAAATCACCAAGAAGTCCTCCACTTCTACATGAAAATATACTTGCATTTCTGCTTTTTGGGTTATTGGAAGTCCTCTTAAGATTCAATTCCATAACCCTTATTCCTGCATGTAACTTTTACTCGTGTGAGTAATTCTTATAATACTTCTAGGACTGTGTGTGCACAGTCCTAAGAGTTTGTAGAATTGTACCTTTAGAGACCAATATTTTATGTTGGCAGTTTGATGTTGCCTCATCTCCACTAATATTATGTGTCTGTGATCAATCTGCTTGCTAAATGTATTTTATGATTTGTAACTTGATGCTAATACCAGTGAACTGTAATATTAGAGAACATAAATAATGTGACAGAAAAGATGTGTAATCCTATATACATGTTATCTGATGCTAACATAGTATTCATTAACTTTTTTTATTTTGAGTTGTAGCATTTTGGACCCAGACACCAGTCTCTGTTTGGGCAAGTGGGGTGTATAATATCCAATTTTATTTTCTCCATACATTTGTGCTAAGTATGTACCACAACTTCTAGTATGAAATGGCAAGCATTTGGGCTCCTTAAGCAACTGGATGCTTTTATAAGTTACATTATTTTCTGTAGAACCTTTAAAGAATATAATTTACTTTCTTTTCCAACTGCCTCACTTAAAATTTTAAGCATATAGTGTCTTATGTTTCTTCATTTTCACAGAGTCTAAAGAGCTTTGTCAGTGTTAGGGAGAAAACAATGATTACAGCTAAAACACTGAGTTACTGAAAACAGTTTCATATTTCTGAAGATTCAGGTTGCTAAAGCAAAATATTTAAAAGAAATGTGCAAGTACAGCTTAAAGCTATGGTACTCTCAATTGGTAGGGTTTGGCTCTAGTAAAGCAGGAAAATTTATTTCAGAGCCAAAAATTACTTCTTTGGCTGTGACCAGGATTTCCTCTGCCCACCTCTGGGACTTGAAACTGGAGGCAGGAAAATCTGATTTTGGAGCCAAGTTGTGACTTGTTTAGTTCAAGTCATAATTTACTGTTCTTACCTTGGGGACCTGAAAATAAAGAAACTTGCCATGAAATGTTGATAATGGGCAACTCTGAAGTGCAAGCATTAAGCTGACTTTCCCAGAGAGCATTTCTTCACTTCCACCTTTCCAGATGCTTTTGATCCTAGTACAGTAGAGTGTACTTAATCATCTAACAGCTAAGGGAACTTTAAAAAAAAGAAAAAGTAGGGGAAAATGCAGTTAAACCTTTCTACATCGATAGATGTGCAAGGAAAATAAACTTGATAAGGGATTTCTTTGCTGTGACATGACTCAAGAATGACTTTGTCATTAATGAGGAGGTGAATATCAACAGTGATGGCAAAAAATTTATTGTTTCCAGCAACATAATTTGTGAAACATGATGGAAAGCATAATTTCAGTTACAATTTTCTGGGTTATATGTTATTTATTGATAGAAAGAGTTTGCAGCTTTTGGGCTGAAGTCTTTTTCTCCTTTCTTGAGGGCTCAAAAAACCAAGATTCACATTTCATTTCACAATAATGACTTTTAAAAAATATTTAGTTTCTTATCTTTAGGGGCAATTTTGAAACCTCTATGCTTTTTCTTCATTGAAAGGAAAAAATCTAGGGCTGGATAAATGGTTGCTGAAAGGATTCATTTATTTCATACCATATTGTAGGAAAAAAATGTTCACATCCAAGAGAAATTGGGTTAATTAAGAAAAAATATTGATGACAGAGGGTTAATTTTTGGAAGCTGTATTTGTAAGTAGTTGTAAAATCTTATGGAATACAGCATTCTTCTAGTTAAGAAAGTTAAATTTTAAGTTCAACTTAACATATAAGACACAGTGGATGGCATTTCTCCTCTACTGGTGCAAGGCTAATGTCAATATGCTGGCACAGATCACTGAAATCATCCCTGAATATATTTGGAAGTGAAGCCTTTGGATAAATAATGCAGTCAATCAGAACTTTACATTTAGTAGCTTGCTTTTCTGATCCATAAAAAATTCCAAAGTGATTTTCTTGTGTTTATCTTGTCCTTAGCACAGGTAATGTTGACCTTTAAGTTTTTACTTGACTGTCAAAGTATGTTGAAAGCTTTAAAAGTGAGGCTATCACCTAGGGGATTTGTAAGGATGACTGACACTTACCACTTCACCCTGCACACAGTGGCACTGAGTGTACACAGCAGCCTTGGACCTCAGGGGAAGCTGGTTGATTTTTTTTTATTTTTTTTTTTCACTTCTGCTTCACTGGAAATGGATTGAATTTTCTCTGTCAGAGGAGAGTTTTGGTTGCATTAGAATTTAATCAAGTCACTTGTTCGCAGTCCCTCAAAGCCTACAAGACCGAGATGAGTAGATGGGCCTGGGGTGATTCTCCTCTACTGGTGCAAGGCTAATGTCAATATGCTGGCACAGATCACTGAAATCATCCCTGAATATATTTGGAAGTGAAGCCTTTGGATAAATAATGCAGTCAATCAGAACTTTACATTTAGTAGCTTGCTTTTCTGATCCATAAAAAATTCCAAAGTGATTTTCTTGTGTTTATCTTGTCCTTAGCACAGGTAATGTTGACCTTTAAGTTTTTACTTGACTGTCAAAGTATGTTGAAAGCTTTAAAAGTGAGGCTATCACCTAGGGGATTTGTAAGGATGACTGACACTTACCA